GACCCCCCCCCCGCCCGAGGCCCCGCCTGACCGAGACCCCGCCTGTCTGAGGCCCCGCCTGTCCGAGACACCCCCCCACCCGAGGCCCCGCCTGTCCGAGGCCCCGCCTGTCCGAGGCACCTAGTGTCCCCTCCAGGGAAGGGAGAGATCCCTGGATGGGCCTGGCTGCCTTCGGCAGGAAGGGCATTCAGGCATGGATCCAGACCCAGTCCGGACAGTCAGCGACACCATCTACATGAGGGGTCTTTCAAGTCTCCTTTTAGGGAGGGAGGGGCTCCCACACCTGCCCCATTTGCCACAGTCCACAGAGGAGGGCGAGTCGAGTGCAGTCATGCTCTACATGGGTCCCAGACTGACCAAAGCACCACTACCTGAAAGAGCTTACAAGTTGCCACGTGTTGCGACTAGGCCCCGCCCACGTGGAAGATGCATTCTGGCCAGAATCTGGTGGCTCGGATGCAAACCAGGTCACTACTCTCCCCCTTACATCTACACCACTCCTAGCCAGGGTATGACCTGCGTTCCCTGAAGTTCAAGTGGGTTGAGGGCTGTGGGTGTCCCTGAGATACACGATTCTGCTTCGAAAAAGACTGGGCTACAATGAACGATTTTAGGAGGTAGCAAGAAGAAATCCAAGCCACACTAAAGGGGGGGGGGGATCATTAGGTGTAAGAGATCACAAGGGCAGCATCTGACAGAAAGCAGAGTTAAGACAGGTGGTTAAACTGAGTGGACAGAGATCGGGAACTCAAGGTGGAAACAGGGAAAGTGCTGTGGAATTGCAACCAGTGTCTGAACAATCCACATACAAACTGCTAAATGGGAGATCTATTCTACTCTGTAAACAAAATCTATTTTTAAAAGGATGGCATAGGGTAAGACAGGACTCAGGTTTATTGTTCACAAGGTCCATAAGAGTCCTACTCTACTTGGTGGCACCTAACAACACCTATATATACACACCTTTGCCACTCAAAAAAGGGCACTGAAGGTAACACTCATCAATTTACTTCTAATCAAACCCAAGGGTTTATATACCAGAGCTGGGAGAACCAAATGGTCCTGACCAGACCCAGGCACAAGCTGTCCAGCAAACAGTGAGGTACAGCCCTCTTTTAGAAAGATGGGCCGCCCCAATCAGACAGTTATACAATAATTAAAAAATAAAAGGTTCTGCTAACTAGCAGGGTCTTAAAACCTAGAAGGTTAGGAAAAACTTCCCATGATACGGAAGGGACTTGGAAAAGCATGACAAACAGTGTAGAAAAGCAAATAAGAGTACAGATGCTAAGAAAGAGAAGCTTGGAATCCTGTTTAGAAAAGCATGCACATGTGTAAAATGTCCAGAAAGAATCAGTATCATTTATTCAAGAGCCCTTCTCTGAGTAAGAATCAGTATCATTTATTCAAGAGCCCTTCTCTGAGTTTCTATTAGGTGCACAGAATAGCAATGCCTGTCCTTAGAGCAGCATGAAGATTGTTAGAAGCCGCCTTCTTCTATGAGTAGCCCAGATCTATTCCTTAGTTCTCCTCTACCCCAACCTCCTTAAAAGAGAGGAAAGATGGAGACAAGCCCTAGTATAAAAGATTCATAATCAAATAAAAAAGAAATCTACTGACTATCCTAGTGTGTGAAATGCTTATTACCAGTCCACAATAAACTAAGAACAGAAATTGAGAATAAGCATTTAGAAACTTTTATGGCAATTTGTCGGTAATTAGATGCTGCTGGATCTAATTTTTAAAATACATCTTTGAGCTAAGTGTGTCTTTTTTCTCATTTTTCAGTAACTCATTTGGGGTTGTGTAGTTTTTTTTTTTTTAATATCAGTCCATAGCATATGGAAATAAGTCACTGTAAATTACTTTTTACTGTGGTAAAACTTACCATTGTAAACTGTAGAAGCAGTGGTCTAGATAACATTACTCTGATAACATTTAGTTATCAGAGAAGGGATGCTCTAAGGGAAAAAAGCTTATCAAATACTTATAATAGGCATTATTATAATTATGGCATACCCTATTATGTAAATCAGTACTGCTGTGTGAGTATTTAAGGGAAAGTTTAGAAAAACTCTACCGAAAAAATTCTTTCATCTTAAAGATAAAAGAGGTAACAAGACTAAGTTGGTAAAATATTAAACAGTCTATACGTGGCTATAAAACACTGTAGTATAGTCATCTTTGTAATCTTCCAAACCGAATCTGTGTTTCATGGGCTCAGAGACTATCTTACGTCTCTATATCCTTAGACTTGGTAACTACAGTACTATTGTTGTGTCTGACAGGCTTGTTGTCCCCCTTCCCCTCACTTCTTGGTTTTATTGGAGGTCTTTTTTAAGGTGTGTGAAACTATAAAAACATAAGTCAGGCCAATACTATGATATTATAGGTACTAAAAACTGATGGTGTGGTGCTTAACTTAGTGCCAGCTAAAAGGCTAACAATTATAATTGACAAACTCAGCAAGAGAAAGATGGAAAGTTTTCTCCTGTAAAATTTTACTGCCTCAGAAGCCCAAAGGAGAGTCATTGGGTATCTATTATAAATTCTTTAAATATTATAATTCTCTGTGGTACTTGTACACCATTTACAGAAGAGGAAACTGAGACTTAGCGAGGTTATGCAATGCGCCTCAAATAACGTAGCTTTTAAGAATGGCAAGGCCCACACAGATTTAAATCTAAACTCTATCTAATCCCAAGATAAGTGTTTTATTCCGCTTTATCCTCGAGGTCACTGGAAAATCTGCTGAATGAGTTATATAGAACTTTGCTTATACATTCAGATTTTACCCCCCTCAATTAAATCAGCTATTGTTGAAACTTGCCATCGAGGCAGAACCAACTCATGGCTGACCCTCCAGCAGGTTTTCTATCATTCACATAGGAGACTGTCCATCTTTGTCCCTCGGAGCAGCTGGTGGATTTGAACCACATGCCTTTGGTTTCGCAGCACAACTCCTTACCACTACCAAGAAATTCTTGCAAGGTAAACCAATTTTACTTCAACAGATTAAATAGAAAACTAAAAGGTTTGGGGTGGGGTCTGTTTTGGTTTTTCTGCTTAGTTTCTTCAGTTGTAGTTAAAGGGAAAAAAAAATCTAAAATACAGTATTTTACCTAATTTAAATAAAACATCAATTATAGATGGCTTGATTCCCAAAGAAATACACAGAACTACTACTCAGTAAAATAACATAATTTCTATAGCATATACAACTAGTATTTGAAATTTATACAATCATAATTACAGTTTTTCAAAAATCACTATTTGATAAAATACCAATTTTCATTTTAGATGATTTTGCTCATAAAGAAACATACAAGTATCATTTAATAAAATTTATTTTGTAAAACTTGGTAAAACATTTGAAAAAAGTTCCATTATACTTCATTAGTATGCTACAGATGAAATTATATCCAGAATCTCAGAAGTCTTCTTAAGATAAAGTTCATGAGTTGTTGAGGAAAAAGTTCCATAAGCTCTTCAGACACGATTTGAAGCTTAAGAACACATGTGAAATCATTATAGTTGTCTCTCAATATCCATAGGGGACTCATTTCAAAATATTTCCCTCTAATCCACCCATACACCAAAATCCAGAGGTGTTCACCACCTTTATATCAAATGCATAGTATTACACGTGCACATTCTCCTGTATACTTTAAATCATCTCTAGATTACTTACAGAAAACATCCTGTTGTTAGGTGCCATAGAGTCAACTCCGACTCATAACAATCCTACTGAAAACAGAATGAAACCTTGTTCAATCCTGGAACATCCCCACAACTTCTGATGTGCTTGCCCCTATTGTTGAAGTGACTGTTGAATCCATCTTGTTGAGGGTCTTCTTCCTTTTTGCTGTCCCTTCATTTTCCCAAGCATGATGCCTCTAGGAACTTGATAACATTCCTAAAGTACTGGAGACAGAAGTCTCATCTTCCTTTCTTGTGAGCAGCATTCTGGTGGGCCTTCTTCCAAGACAGTCCTTCTTTTGGCAGTCCAGAGTAGGTTCCATATGTTTCACCAACACCATCTAATACAGTGTAAATGCTATATAACAGCCCTTTATGCATCCTCTTACCTTTGGTGAGATGGCTCTGGCTGCTTCATTGCTTTTTAGGAGCTTCTCCCCCTCCCCCAAGAAAAGGGTACACACAATAAAATAGCAAACAAAGCAGCAAGGTAAACAATGCTCAAATCAGGAGTGCTGGAGAGCCAGGATCTGTGAAATGCCTACACATTGGTTCATTAGCCTGGATTCCCCGCCCCCCCATAGGGCTTGGCTTGCAGCAAATTTAAATTTTGTTTTATGGGGCTTTCTTGATTTTTACTTTTTTTTTTTTAAAAAATGAACACTTTAATCTGTGGTCAGTTTAACCTGTGTATGCCGAACCCACGGATATAGCATCAACTGCAGGGGGTCAATACAAGGTTCTCAACTGACTATTCGGTATTGATAATGTTGCATAAACTATCTACTTTATTAACACAAACATAACAGACTTTAAGTATCACTGACTATTCAGTATTGATAATGTTGCATAAACTACTTTATTATCACAAACATAACAAACTTTAAGTATCTTTTAGACTCAAATTATAAAGGCTTTAATAAATAATAACCTAATTTTTAAGAATCCTTGTTTTGGTTTTCCACTTTATGAGTGTTAAAATTAAGCATGTTTACAGATGAATAGTGAGATAGGCTGAACAAATTTCCCAAACACTACTCCATGATTAAGCAGTAATGCATACAAGCACATTCAGTAAGTGATCCATGAAAGAAAAATAGGACACTTAATTCTTTGTCCCAGGTCCTTTATGTTTTAGTTAATTTTAGCACTTTTCACAATTACTAAAAAGTCTATTAAGTTGCCGCAAATGATGGCAAATGTGTTTCAAAATATGATCATCAGTTTAAAAAGTGTGCGGCAAAAAGGCAAGAAATATTTTCATCACCAAAGCCTGTATTTATATATAAAAAAAATGTTACCTGGTTTCTATGTTTCTCTGGAGTTCAGTAAAAGTGAATGGCATCTCATCTAGGTCCACTGCTGCAATAAAGATATGGATTCCCCACAGCTGCTTTTTCTTTTCAGTATCATTCTTTTGAGTAGTTTCCTGAGAGGAAAAAGAAATGTTAAATAAACTCTTACACATTGATACTAATAAATTGTATTATATCTGACTTTTTCCTTTACTCTTGTATCTTACTCATGTAGAGCTGCTAAAAGAATCCCACAGGTGGACAAGTTTTAGAAACAAATTTTCTCTGTTTATAAGGCTTGAAGGCTCAATTCAATCAATAAAACACAAGTAAGTATCATCCCAGTATTCTGTGCTTTTAGCCAAGCTCCTTCTAATATCAGTAATGACATACTGCTGTTATATATTCTTTGTTCCACAGTGTCTTATGATTCCAGCCTGAACGTCTAGTGTTTCTTGTTGGTGTACTGTCCCAAATGCTTTTTAATAATCTTAACAATTTTACTTGCATGTTGTATTAATGATATTGTTTAATAATTTCTGCACTGTTGTATCACCTTTTGTTGAATGGGAACAAATATGGATCTCTTCCAGTTGACTGTCCAGAAAGCAGTATTCCAAATTCTTGGACACGTCCAGAGCTGCATGTTCGCTAAAACACCTCAGTTGGTAATCCATCAATTCCTGGAATTTTGTTATTTACCAGCTCCTCCTTCAGTGCAGCCTGGACGTCTTCCTTCAATATCTTTGGCTCTTGATCATATGCTACTCCCCAAAATGATGTGGTGTCAACCAATTCTTGGTACTTTCTTTAGAATCCTTATCTTTAGAATCCTTCAGCATTACAACTTGAAAGCGAATTTTTCCCCTCCAATTCTTGCATCTTGAAAAATGCTGTGTTTTTTCTTTTAGTTTCCCAACTCCAGATCTTTGTATATCTCATTATACTTTGCTTTGTCTTCTCAAGCTGTACTTTGAAATGTTGTCCAGTTCTCTTATTTCATCATTTTTTCATTTTGCTTTAGCTTCTCTACATCCAAGAACAAATTTCAGAACCTCTTTGGGTTTTTTTTTTATCCTTTCCCATCTTGGTACTTTCTGTTTTCTGCTTATATGATGTTTTTTATATCATCCCACAACTCAGTGGTCTTCAAGCAGTAGTGTTCAATGCATCAAATTATTCTTGAGATGGTTTTTAAATTTAGAGGGATCAACTCAAGGCTGTATTATAGCTCTCATAGACTTATTTTCATTTTCTTCAGCTTCAGCCTGAACTTGTGTCTGTTCCATAATCAGCCCCTTGTTTGACTGCTGAGTAGGTTTTTTTAAAAAGTATTTACAATAAATAAATCACTGACTGTACAAAATTCTATCATGTGATCTGCCTCATGTCTGTCACTAAGGCCACATTTTTCAAGTACCAGTCCTTTGTTTCCAACTTTTGCATTCCAGTCAACAGTTGTTATTATTAATGCATCTTGACTACTTGTTCAATCAACTTCACATTGCAGAACGTCACACTCATTACTGTTGAGTTAGAACAAGCTCATAGCTCACTCTGTAGCAGGTTTTTGAGAGGCTGTAACACTGCACAAGATGAGCCTACTGGTGGACGTGATCCACCGGAAAAGCATCACCTTTGGGTGAGCAGCACAAATCATTCCAGATCATGCCACAAGGGCTCCCAAATGCGAGTCTCTAGAAATCCTCAATTCCTTTATCTTCCGCTTTAGTAGTTGGTTCACTGAATAACAGCTGGATTAACAGATCTGGTTTTGGTTTTGCTTTTCCTTAGCACTCACATTCACTCCTAGTGAACTCAACTACCTGTGTACAGGTAGTCTCATCTAACTTCTGGCTCTGGTAGTTCTCTACAGCTTCGACCTTATTTCTCAGTAGCAATTTATAATCTAAAATCTGTAACTGATTTGAATATGCTAAGCAAAAATCAAAGATTTTTATTACAGTTTATGAAAAGGAAAGGCAACAAATACATCAGTTACTTCTTGTAGTCTCATAAGATTAGGAATGGTTTTCATTTTCTTCATTAATCCTGGATGCATTTTCTAAATTATAGGGAAATATGCTAAATTTATATATTTTTTAAAAAAAAATAGGAATAATCTTAAGGAAAATAATACAATTTTAACTACATGAATTACAGTTAAAATAAAAATCTACAACCAAAAAGAAAAAAAAAATCTACAACCAGTATTTAAAAGGCTACGCATTTGACATAAAACAGCCAAGTTTATCTGAACCACCATAATGGTGAGTTCAGTGGGAGAATTTCAATCTTCTACACAGGAGATTTGAGTTCATTTCCTGCTCAAGTTCTTCTCCCACAAATATATCAGTGGAAGCTTTCATGTTGATATGACACTAAACAAGTTTGAAGAGAACTTATGGACAAAGATGGACAAGGAAGAAAGTCCTGGAAATGACCTTCAATAATCAGCAAATGAAAACCTGGTGATCACATCAGTCTGATCCACAACTGGTTGAGGTGATGGTTTGGGATTGAGCAGCATTTTTTCCCCACTGTGCATGGGTTATACAAGTCAGGCCAACTCCAACATTAACTTGTGCAAAAACCCCTAATGCAATGACTGAATTTTATGACAATGCACTAATTTGCGAAGGAGCGCCACCAAGTGGTGACAAAAATAGTCTTAGAAATAGCAGAATTTAAACTGCAATTTTAAAAATTAAATTTATCCATATTCTGCCTCTTTGATTTAGTAAACACCAATTCCACTGACTGCCAAGGGATGGTCAGGTTTGTCTTAAGGGAAAGTGTGGCCAGATGCTCACTGGAGGCAAGGAGGGCAAAGCTTCATCTCCCTTATGGCCTGCCCATCTTTCTCCCTTGGAGCTGCTGGTGGAAATGGGCAGTTATCTGACTAGCAATGCAATACGGACTGAATCACCAAGGCTCCTTAAGAGGGGCACAGTTAAGCAAAATGCAAACACTAAGTTTTATTTTTATCAGTTATATTTTTGATAGACGGGTAAACATCAGCTCAAATGAATAACCTGACCCCCTCCTACCTTCAGAAAGACAAAAATATTTTTTAAGGAAAGAAACAAAAACCAAAGCAAGCACTGAGAAAATAGCAAGAATCATTAAAACTAAAAACAAAAACTACAGTAAAAAAACATAAAAGTAGGTTCTGAAGGAAAAAAATTCTAGCCAGATAGAAATCAAGGAGGGGGGGGGAAAGAATTATAATATGGGTAGAAACATAATTACATATCCTGCAAATACTTGGTGGGGGGGAGGAGAAATGTGTTATAAATTTCCTTTCCACAAATTCAACACCTTAAATGAACTGAAAAAATTTCATAAAACACAATGTGGGATAATTTTTGTTGTTTGTAGAGAAAATGAATTTTAATTTAAAAACTTCTTCCTCCAAAAACATTCCAGCTACAGACAGCTTCACTGGTTAATTTTATCCACTGGACAGTTTGTGCACCAAGAAAGTATGCAAGACTACCATGTTCACACAATACAGTTTTAAAAACTCATCTAAAATACATCTTTTATGGAGTAATGCATGTTTATGTGCACTCCTACCAATTACTTTAAAGAAAATTTAGCTTTCATTAAAGTTAACAGAATATCAACCTAGAGAAACACTAATTTGCACATTTAAGCTCAACAAGATAAAAAGGTGAATGGATAAAGAAAATGTATGTCTACATATCATAACCAGTCCTAAAAAGAAACAAAGTTGTAGTACATGAGAGCCCATGGATGAACCCTAAACACATTATGTGAAGTGAAATAAGCCAGATATGAAGGAATATACATTGCAGGCAAATTCAGAGGACAGAAGAGACTAGTAGTGCTAAGGACTGGAGTAAAGGAGCTAGGGAGAGTTACTGCATGAATGGTATAGGGCCAGTGAAAATTTCAGAAATAGACAGGGTGCTAACTGTACAACACTGTGAATAGCCCTAATTTGTAAAAATGACAAATATATACATTTGGCTTCAATGAAATTTTTGAAAATTGCTCAAGCTGCCACATTCTCGTTGGTTCAGTTGCATCAGAATAGCTGCTATGCAGGAGACAGGCTCAAGATTCTATCACATTCTTCTTTAGAAATTATAGTACTAACAGACACTAAGTTCTCTGGTGGGGTGGTCTGTAGGAAGATGCACTGCTAACCAGTAGTCCCAGCTTCTCTGGTAGTTCGAAGCTACCAGAAGTTCCTTGGGGAAAAGATAAGCAATTGCCTCCTGTACAATTTACAACCTTGGGAACCCACTGGAGTGTGAACTGGTACCAACTCAGCAGCAGTGAGCTTTGAGTGGGCAATGTGAATTTTTAGTTTTGGGTGTGAGACTCAAAACCAGAAGAAAGTGACTGTGCTGACCATTCTGAAAAAGCTCACAACAAAATGAATAGGGTGTCCTGGTGGTACAGTGGATAAGGAGCTGCACTGCCAACCCCAAAGCCAGCAGTTCAGTGGAAAGTACAGCAAGCTTGGAAAGGTAGAGATTCCGTGAAGACCCTCAATGAGATGGGCTGACTCAGCGACTGCAACAATGGGTCTGAGCTAGGTGGAGACTGAGGATGGTGCTGGATAGGACAAGGGTTAGATCTGTTGTTCAGAGGATCACTCTGAATTGCAGTTAGTAACAAGAGCGTGTATTCACCAAAACTTTCCAAATTATCTCTCCCTACCTTTCTGAAAACTACAGTTACAGTAGTTCAGGAAGAAAGAGATGGAGTTGAATCTTCTAAACTACATATGCACAGAAATAACTATGTACATGTGTATGTACCCAAAATGACTGGAAAGATCCTGAAATGTTTTGAAATAAATAATTTCATTTAGGATGACTGTACAGAAATCATCCTGTTCTGTGAAAATGCTTTAATATTTGATTTGGGGTTTGGTGTTTTGTTCAAAGAGTTGGTAAGAATATGCTCAAAGTTTTGTTGGAGATTTCTTTTTTATTACTAGAAGATTTTTCACATTATTAAATTAATTGTATATACATAAACATTTTGCTTCTGTTAATCTGATCAGTGAAATCACATACACATGTACTCTTTCTCTTTGTGGGTATTTTTGCTTTATCTTTTTTTCTCTATTTTATAATGGTTTACATACGAAATGTGTACACGTTCCCACTGTGTTTCAAACAATCACTCATGCACATTGTGTTTTACAAACTTAATCCCCAATGATCTATGCCCACTATTACTCCATCTGTTCAGGTCCCTTCTGGCCCCTTCCCATTCTGTCACCCTCTCCTCCACTCACCACGCTGTTAACCTAGTGACTGCCTCTGTCTCCCTGCACCCCGCCTCTTTCTGGTTTGGATTAAGCCATATATGTTTATATAAAATAATGAGAAAGTAAATCTGTTAGATGTGTGCATCTTGTGCAGTTTAGCAGTAATTATCAAGATTTATAATTTTTCCTAACTTGACTCAGTAATTCAAAATGTAAGAATGTTAAGATTCATTCACTAATTCATTTAACAAATTTACATTTATTTTGTACCTAGCATTATTCTTATGGTCAAGGATGTTCATCAGATTGTAGAATAAAAAAATTTAAGACAAATCTAAGTGTCTAATAATGTTGAATTAACAAATTATAAATTAAAGGATATATTATAGCATCACTAGAAACTTAGCTATTTAAGAATATTTAATGACATAAAATATTGACAAGTACGTCAAACAAAACAAACATAAAAGCAAGATCTAAATTATATCATTATCACAAATATGTATTAGGTCATTTTAGCCAAGCAGCTTAATTAGTAACATAACCTTACCATACTTTATAGTTTCTTCAACTGTACAATGAAGATTTCACACTTACATAGAGTTTTTCTATTTTTTAAATTTGAAATTAAAATGTCACATGTGAAATAAAAACACTTTACATGTAAAATAAAAATTTGCAAAAAAAATCCACCTCGATGAACGTAAAATAAATTATTTGCAAAATGTTTTAAAACCTCTCTTATACATGAATCACCATGAATCTGAATGAACTCTGAAGCAACTGGTTTCTCCCACAATACATATAAAGAAGTACTAGATGATTATATGCTGTTACTATACAGACGTATATACATGCAATTAAAAAATAAATTAACATCAAAATGTTCTCAAAGATTCTGAATTCTAATAAAACTGATTTTATGATAATCAGGAAGTTTTCTGCACACTGACTATGTTAGAAAAAATATTTTAGAATATCCAATTGTGGGGTTTTTTAAAGTCCTTATATACATAAGTAATGATAGATTTATGGATAAAAATAGTAACTTTAAAAAAATACTTTGGTGGAGATGTGTATGGGGAGGATTTTTTTTAACATGATCAGAGGCAAATTACTTTGGGTAACAGAATTACTATTAAGTTTTTTAAAACATTAATAAAAAAACCCTTACCGATGCTTTATCAACAGATGAAACTTTCACCCAAGTCAGCCAAGCTCTTTCTCTGACATTATCTGGTACCTTTAATTTCTGGCACAATGCAACAAAAGCAGGATCTTCAGTTTCTTCAAACTCAAGCCTACCAAATGGAAACATATACACACAAACATATAAAATATTCACACATTTATAAAGTAAAATATTTGTCTCAGCAGTTTATTATTCATGAAAGATAGATTGCTAAGTACTTTAAGATATAGTAATATCTTAGACTATATTACATTTAGAATTCGGACATATCTTGTCCTTGAACTTTCCAAATAAAAGATACTACAAAATGAAAAATATGTTCTGGCATGGGGAATCATATATACTTCAAAGCAGTTAAATAACCTTGTAAAAGAAAGTGCAACAGATTAGGCTGTTGGGGGCAGGGGGATTGAGATGATAAGAGCAAGAACAGAAAAGTTCTTGTGCTATCTACAGATAACACTGTCGAATCAATTCAGCATAGTAACTTTGTTAAAATGTGGTCCATACTTGTTAATGTTTCATACAATATCTCTATAGGACCTCTTACATGATGACTAGCAATATAAAATTTTGTTATACTTATTTCCACCCTTTCTTAACCAGCATAGGATTCAATACATTCAAGTTGGCTGACTCCTTTCCACTCATTTAATACATACTGTTGTTATGTGCCATCAAGTCGCCTGCAACCCATGTACAACAGCACTGAAGCCTGCTCTATCCTGAGCCAGTCTCACTGATTCTGACTCACCCACCCCCACTGCCACACTTACTGCAGCATTTAATAATAATAGTAAGAAAAATAACTAAAACTTGGGAGCATAGACAGTACTTGCTTTGCATAGAGTTTTCATCCTAATGTACTAGTTAGTCCTAACATAAGTTGAGTACTTTTCCCCCTATGTTTTCATTATGTCCTTTTATTATCAGTATCTTTATAAATCCAATCTATATATGTTTGAGAACTTGCGGCAGGCAAATTACATGTTGTATACTATATATCACATATTACCAACAGAAGACATGTTTTTAAAAAAGGACAAAAACATTACATGGTCATAAATATGGTTTATCGTACTTTGAATACATCCTAAATCATAGAACTACCTATAAATCTGTAAAAAGTCATTAAGTACATGCATTACTTACATTTCCACATCTGCCATATTTTGTATGACCTCTTATCTGTATTTTACAGAAGAATAAATAAGAGAGGTGAAAGCACTCACCTGAGGTCACAGCCAATAGTAAATGGTAAACCAAGATAGGAATCCAACAGCCTAACTCCATAGTTCGTGCCCTTAACCACTCTTCTGTACTGCTCACTCCTTTATAATTAACTTTTGCTTCCCTCAACAATAATTTGCTGTTCCTAGAAAGCTTCCTTTTCAACCACATAACTTGGGCCAGAAATAAAGCAACAGAAATGACTTCTCAATTCTCACGTAGACATGGACTCTTGCTTGCAATGCGGTTGGAGCACACTAGTCAACTTCAGATTGCCAGGCTACGGTTCAACACTTGCTAAGGAGATAATCTGTAGGGTTTGCTTGCCCGTATTAATGAAATCCTTTGTGGGTATGGATAATTTGTGGATATGGCTGGGATTTGTATGGTTTTAAAGTCTAAGGGCTTGGCTTCCCAGAGAATTTCTGATAGTTCTATCACTTAAAAGTTTCTTTAATAATGTGGGAGGAGTACAGAGGAAGATGAAAGAAACAAATTTCTTCTTCTCCTATTATGGTCATAATTTCAGTATTTCTAGTTACCACCTACCCATTAGGTAAGGGGCATATTAAATTTACTACACATACTGATTCCAGCAGATAGGGGCCCTCCAGGACAGGTAAGAATTGCCCTATCCAGGGTGTAGGCTGTAAATCTTTATGGAAGCAATTGCTTCCTCAGGCTCCTTGGTGGGTGCTTAATTCAAACTGCAGACCTTTTGGTTAACAGCCAGTCTACTTTGCCCCCAGGACACCCACAAGGCCCATCACACTAACTGAAAAGTGATGTCTTCTAAGACATGCCCCAGACTTGTTCCTGCCTTTCCCCCCCCTCCCCTCCATTGCCATCAAGTTGATAACTCAAGAGCATGGCAAGCGCACGTGCGTCGACAGATCGGGCTTCGTAGGGCTTTGAGGGGCAGATTTTTTTGGAAGGTCTTTCTTTTGTAGTACCTCTGGAAACCTCCAAACTGGGATTAGCAGTAAAGCACATTAACTGTCTGCACCCACCAGGGCTTTTCTCTTTCTAAAAAAACCAACCATCTAGGAAATGTGATTTTTAGTTGGCCCAAAAGACCAATATATGAGTTTTTAGTAACAGTTATTTCCAAAAGTTCATCTCCATCTTTTTCTGTTTTTGCCTGAATTCTCATGTCTGGGAATTCGAGACAGGAAAAACCAAGAGAGTCAAACTCCCTGAGGGTACAAAAGTGGGAGACGGACCAGAATGAAGGAAGGAATGGTGAGTGAAGAAACCACGAAACGGAGAATGAAGCTCCAAGCAGGAACACTGCTGGCAGTAAGGAATACGGACAAGTATGCACCTTTCAATCCTGGCCATTTAAACCATAAAGTATCACAATGAGAAAAAATGTTGCAATGCCGTGAATACCTCCTTGTCATTCTGCACTGCGTCCATAGCCTTGCTTAGATCTAAATTCCACTTGGGGGCGGGCGGGGGTGGGGGGCGAGGAGGGAACCAAAGTTCTAAGTGAGCAGAAGAGCATCACTAAATTTTCACCAAAAGCAAAGAAATAAGGAGGTACCAAGATCCCTGATAGCAAGGCCAAATAGCAGAGAGAAACAGCGGCCGCAGAACTGGCAAGGATTTTTATCTGAAAGGGGAAAAGCGGAGTTTGGCGACCTGCGGGCACTCGGGCGCCCGGTTCTGCCCGGCCGTCAGTCCCGCGGGCCTCGGGTCCGGGTGTCCCGGCGTTTCCGGCCACCCGCCGGCAGGCCCAGGCCTTCGGCCACCGCGCATCCCACCGGCAACCGGTCCCCGCCGAGTCGCGGGAGGCCGAAGCCGCCAGGCGAGCGGCGCCCGGGGCATCACCCGTCCTCAAGGCTCCCGATCCCGCCTCCGCGGTCACTTCTGCGCTGGATGCAGCTCCTAGCGACCCGAGCCTCCCGGTGGCTTCGCACCTGTCACTTGGCTCAGCGATGTGAGCCCCGCCCGACACCTGTCAACCTGGGGCCGCGACTCTCCCGGCTGCGAAGCCCGCGTCCCCGATCCCAGTCCTGTCGCCGGCCTCCGGGCCTCCGTGGCGGCGGACCCGGAGGCCCCTTTTCCAGGGGCCCAGGCCCGGGGCAAAGCCGCGATCCCCCCCGGACGCCGCGGCGCGACCGCAGGCCCTCGGCGGCCTCCGTGCGCCCGCACCGCGGCGGCGACTCTGCTCCCTCACCTGGGCAGAGGCACGTCCTCGGGGCCGCTGCTGCGCTCCGGCTCCTCGGGAGGGAGAGACGGCGGCGCGAGCGGTTCCACGGCGGCGGGCACGGCGCGGCGGGGGCTTTTGGGCGGCATGACGATCGCACAGGGCTGGAGCCGGCGAGCTGCAGAGACGAGCAAGGGCGGAGGCGCGCACACACGTCCACTCCTCTCGACTCCCGCAACAAAAATGTGAACGTCCCCGGAGGAAAACCCGACAGGCCCTGCCCCGCCAGCACCCGAGCGCCGCGTCCAACCGCGGGAAAACGTCACTTCCGCTCGCCACGTCACGGCCGCGAGGGCGGTGGGCCCGGGGACGTCGGGCGAGAGTGGGGCGCAGGGGGGGCGCCGGCCGCAGCCGGGGGGTGCCTGACGGACCCTCAGTGAAGTCGGGGCGCAGCGGGGACCCCGCAGGACGTGCGGGGGGGTGCAGAACGGGCCTGCAGGGGGGTTCGAGCCGAGCGCCGACGTCACGCGGGACCCGGGCGCGGGGCGGGCGGCGGGCGTGGCCGAGCTCGCCTCCCCGAGGCTAGCGCCGCCACCTGGGCCGAATCCTTTCGGCTGCGGCGCCCACCATGGGGCGGTAGAGAGTCTGTGGATGACAGTGAGCCCCGTGCACGCCGTCGCTCGGGTCCGCAGCTCCGCAGGCTGGGACGCGCCGGCTCACAGCTCGCCCTGGCCAGCCTGTCCTCCGGACCCGTCTCCGCAAAGCCACGTCCGCGGTCCTTGGCCGCAAAAAACACTTTCCCTTTCTGCTGTCGTAGAATCCCAGTTAGTGCCGCACCTTACCAGTCAGCGATGATAGAATGCCTGCGACAGTTAGTAACTAACCTTTTGGGTATTACTGGTTAGGGTCACTCTGCTATCAAAGCCCACTGGAGTTGCACTGCTAACCCAAAGGCAATGCCTCTTTGGTGGTTCGACTCCACCAGGTGCTCTTCCAGAGAGAGCGGACACTCTCCTCGGGATGTAGAGCCTCCAAAAGCCCGCTGGATTTTTGAGCCATGAGTCCGATTCCGCAGCGATGAGCTTGAGTTGGTCGATTAGTTTAGGGAATGGGGAGGGGGCTGTGAATAACAGATTGCAGTGTGGTAAATGTCTTCTTAAAATTTATTAACTCAAAACCACAATGTCTTTGTAAGTTAAAATGGCAAAAAAGTAAAAAAGTCATTACACATTACTTATATGGGAAATTATCTTGCATGTCTCAGGCCCAAATTATAACCTACCAACATTTTTAGCTACGAGACCTCTTGAAATGAAAATTAAGGAAGCACAGTCTTTTCCATATAGAATTTGTTATTTCTTATCACAAGGTCATAAACGTCGTCAAGGGAGCTCTGGTGACCTAGTGGTAAGAAGCTGCGTTACAGTTCCAAAGACGTGCATTTCGAGGCCACCAGTTGCTCTGCAGGAAAAAATTGTGCAATCACCTCCCATGCAATTAACTGCCTCTGAAAACCCACCGGAGGATCAGAGGTGCGTCGGTTCGGACTCGGTGACGCACAGCAAGCTGGGAGGTGGGGGGAGCAAAAAAGTTCGACCATGCTGCAAAGTGTTGATGGAAAAACAGGCCAGTGAAGCTGCAGGCAAGACAGGGTTTAAGCGGCCTTCACATTTTCTTTACAAGATCTGCCCCCTCTTTGAGATGTAACTTTCTGATAAACCTATCTTTGATTTTTATCTTTAAAAAAATTTCATTTGAGTCAGGCATTTTTATGCTATTGGTAAGAAGAATTTCTTAACGTCAAAATAATATGTCTATGTATTAATTTTTTTTAGCTTCAAGGAGGGCCCATAAAAACGTTTATAAGGGGCATTATCCTTAGAGGAGAAATTGTAGTTGAATAGAAGTTTGCTAGGCTAACTTAACATTTAAAGAGAGCTTGTAAATATGCCAGGGGCTGAGCTGACCACCTTATGTATTGATCTCATCTTATGGCCTAGAGGTAAGAAACTGCCAGAATCCCAAAGGCACACAGTTTGAGAACACCAACTGTTCCACGGAATACGGATGGACAGTCTCCTCCCATGCCATCACCTGCCTCTGAAAACCCACTAGAGGGCCGGCTATGGGTTGGTTCCCACTCAGCAGTCCTCCAAAATAACAACTCTCATTATAACAGTCATTATAAATGGATAGGATTTGTATTCCACTTTTCAGTTGGGGATCCAGGAAGTTAATTAGTATGCTTAATATTATAAAGCTGATGAACCTTGATAGGCTTGACATCACTTATTACATTCTACTGGTGGAAAAAACACCATGCCAAGAAGAGGAAAAATAACCTACAGAGGCAGAAAAGAAAGAAAAAAGAATTCTGTTGCTACAACCAACAGGCATTAACTTTAAGCCTGATCTCTCCTGTCTCCTGATAGTTTGCGTATTATGATTGGTTTTCTAATTTGATTACATGTTTGTTTTTTTTTTCTTCTTTTGGCACATGTTTTGATTCCCTCCTAAGAACTTCCCAACCAAGATGCTGTGAATAAAGTACAGCTGTGCACAGATGTCCCTGCCATCATTCTCAGAAAGCAGGACAGCATCTGAGCCAGCTGGAGCTTTTACATAAGTCATGGCTACAAACGTCACAGGTTTACCTAAGTGAGTAGTGGAATGGATGGTCATTTTCTGTGTATACCACATGACGCGTGCCATCATGAGAAAAAGGTCCTTCTAGCCTTGGAAACTGTCTCTTAAGAGGTAAGACTGTCAAGAGGTTGGTTCCAGGCCTAGATCTGGCCTTGCCTGGCCTGGCCATGCAGACTCAATAAAATAAAAATGAAAGTTCCATTCACCTTCTCCACAATTAGCATAGGTAAGAAGTTCAGGGAACATTTTTGACCTTTGAAAGCGGGATCATACTCTAGGAGACTGTTATAATCAGATACAATGTGACAGTTCTTCAGCCCTAAAGCTGTTGTTGGGAGGATGTGAGTCGTTGTGAGCTGCTCAGAACAACCCTTGGAGCTGGTTTTGAGCTTGGGTGGGGGGGCGCGAGCTTAGGAGGGTAGCAGAAAGCATCCTAACTGATAATATTTCTGCTACAGTGAGCACCTTTAGCAGAGAGAGCAAATAAATCTTGATAGTGTCTTCGTATCCTTTGTACCCAGCAAAGTGTTGGATACATAGCAAATATTTCTTTGGAGGGACGGAGAGAATGAGAGTGAGAGAACTGAAGAAAGTTCTGGAAATTCTCTTTAAACCCAGTTTCAATCAGCACGTAGATCTGCCACAATTATAAGTAAAAGAGAGGTTTCTAGATTTACCAGAGTTTAATCAATCAGAAAGCTTCTGAGTCAGAAGGCTAACTTTGCAGGCAGCAGCCCAGAACCTCTTCAGCTAAGACACCAGATAACAGAGATCACAGATTTGGGTGATAATTCAGGAATCCTGTTTTTAAACAAACAAACAAAAAAAAAGATAAAGAAGTATCAAAGAGGTTTTCAAGCACGGACTCAAAGATGAAATGGAATGAAAACATTGAGTAAAGAAAGAGACTGCACAGAAATATAAACAGTGGGGTTTGGCCATCTTCAACAGCTATCTGGTCAGCTTAAGGAGTCTGAGTCACAGAGACAGCCACACCAGCAGCTGGCTGAAGACAGGCAAGGTACAATCTCCATCCTGGTCTTCCTGCCATGCCAGTGATTGGGAGCGGGGCTGGGGGTGGTGGTGGTGTGACTTTCTCCACCCCCACCAGGTGCCTGTCTGTCTTGCCTGTCCTCTCCAGCGTTGCCTGCAGGCCTACACTGCTTTGTATCTGGCAGCACAGATCTGTGTTCAAAGACTTCCTCCTCCAGGAGCTTCTGGACTAAGCTGTGCCTGGCCTGCAACCGGCCCCTGAAATAATGGGGTCACTGCCTCTGGAAGTTTGGGGACTATGTGGTGTGAGCAGCCCCTTCACCTTCAGGCTGCTCTGTCTGGCCTGTAGTGGATTGACTGAGGTTTGGGCCTCTTAGATACCTTAACTCACAATACCATAGCCACAAGTAGAGCAAGATAGTGTCTGTGAAGCCTGCTGTCCTTGTGTATCACAGGTTGGCAGTGACTATCTCTTCGCACAAGTGTCTCTGACTGGGTACCAAGTGGGTACCCATCCCCTGGACTGGTAAACACACCATTGCTTAGGCTCCACTGATGCCGAAAAAAATCGGGTACCCAGCTCTTAAACATCCCCTAGACAAAAAGAAGTGTTACCAGTGGCCGGGCCTACATTTTAGGGGCCAGCCACCTCTCAGATGAGCAGAAACTCTGACCTCACTTGGCTTGGCTTGGCAGCGCCAACTTTCTACTCCGAAAACCATTGTCCAGGCCAGACATCCACCACAGTAGTGGCAAGAGCACCAATCAGGTGTCCAGCCTACTTACTGTGTGATCCTGTCTCTCTTCTCTCTCATTTTTCACGTCCATCACTTTACAGATTTTTGATAGCTTGCATTATTCTTATGTTTTTGCTTGTGTCTTTCTCATCTTCTGCTTTCTTTTCAATTCTTTTCCCCTTTCCCTTGCCAGTTCTCTTTGTTTTTCTTGTTTTTCCCCCCTTTTTCTCTCATTGTCTTTGCCTTTCTGTTGCAATCTCCTTGCTTTTGTACCCAAGATTTTCATCCCAAGATTTCTATTTTCTTTTACTATCCAGTCTTGTTTTTCTATTTTTTAGTGGCTTTTGTTTCCCTTTTTCTTTGACCCATCTGACAGTAGAGCTATGGACCTAATAATTTGGAGGACAAGCCCTTCGGTACTAATCTGTTAGAGGAAGAATCAGCAGAGAGGTAGCGTTATATCATAATGATTTGTGTCAAAATTGGTTATAAAGGTATATATCATGGAGGTGGGATGAGATGTCTGACCTCTTAGGAATCACCCTTAGGCCTTGGGTGCTTATGGGGATTCACCCCCTTGTGACGTTAGAGGAGGTCAAGTGCCTCTGTCTTCACCGTATTTTTAACACATTGCCGCACACTTTTAAATTGATGACCATATGCTTAGAAACACATTTTGCTGTCATTTGCAGCAATGTATTAAAATAACTCTACATCATGAGGGAGTTTTGGTGACTTGGTGGGTATGGGAGTTGTGCTACCAAACCAGAGAC